GGAGGCGGCGTCGACCCGCCCAGGAATGGCCAGAATACAGGACCGGTGTGACGGACGCGGCGGGACCTCTGCGACGCTCGGCGGCGGCGAGGTCTGGCGTTGCCGGGAGCCACGCCTCTTCCTGGAAATTCTTCCAGGAAGAGGCTCTTTAGAGTCAAAGTGGCCAGGTTCAGTTGGAGCTTCAGCTTGAACACTGTTTCACTGCACTGTCATTCTCTATATTGGTTGTAGAGCCAGATTTATGCAGCATTGCGTCTTAAAGATTTTAATGAAAATGTCGGGAAATGAGAAACGTCTAAATGTATATTCATGATAGGAGTAGAAATACAGGCAAGTGAGTTTTATTCTAGACGACTGTACTGGGGATTTATTTGGCTGAATGAATGGCAGTGTAACAAATAGTTGAATGCTGTTTCTCATAACCCGACCCTTTGGTAAATTTTGAATGAATGACTGTGTCACAGTTTGCTCCAGTGAGTGGATTAAAAGTATAACAATGATTGCTGTCTGCTTAACAGCGAAGAAGGATCGTACAATATTTCCCAAGAGGCAACTTCTGAAACAAAACCACAAGTTGGTTGACAAATGAAACCTACATTTTAAAGCACCTCTGGATGCTTCAAAGACTAAAATATTCCCTCTTCTGCACAGTAGCAACATTTTTAAAGCGGTAAACTTTTAGCTTGTCTTCCACCAAGCATGAAAAACACAAATACTATGGTGTAATATAAATAATGAAAATTTGTCCTGCCATTGGGGATATGTCTCACCATTACTGCCTGCCTATCTTAGGAGCCACATGGTTAAAAACCTTTTTAATCCAGAAAACATAATAGCCGTAATGACTTATCAAACATCCTGCAGGGCATTTTAAACTTTGAGTTATATATGAGTAAAGGCTAATTGGCTCGGTTGGAATTATCACTGCAAAAAAGCAGTGTGGCAGATTCACCCATAGCCCACCTTTTTACTTTTCACCAGTAATACATAACATAGGGATTTTAAGGAGAGACAAAAACTGGTAGATACACTTCTGAGTGTCTTAAGCCAAAGAGGCTTCTTTGGGAACCGTGCGAGGAATTCACAGTGTGATAAAATAGGAACTTTGCAGTAGCTAGTTGCTATGTTTAGTGGCTGGATGTTAAGAATAGGTGGATCGTCTGGGCAGGAAACCCTATAACGAGGGCAATTACATTTGGAACTGGTATCAACCCACAACATAACCAACCTAACAATTTACATACTGTTTTCAGCGGAGAGCTCCATTATGTAGGGCAGTTGATTATTTAGCGAAATTCATTATTTGTTCTGTCCTGGAAAGTGTGTTCCCTTGAAGCTGAAAGCATAGGGCTCTATTTAAATTGTTTTGTGTGTTTTCCGTCCAGGTAATCATGAATGAGACCTTGCAGAATGGGAAGGTTCTGAGGGATGAACACTGCAGCTTTGTACCTTTGGGTGTTTGGCGGAGCACAGCAGACTGGAAATCACAGCTGCATCCAGAATGTACAACGAACAGGTAAATTCCAATTTAAATTCACCTGGCATGCTATACTCTTCTATAACAGCATAGACCTCAGGTGCTTTCACAGATTGGAAAAAAAGGCTTCAATCAAAGAGGACGACGATGTGTGAAATTATCTGTTCGGGTTTTTCACATGACCGTAAGGACTGATTGTACAATTTTTGACCACAGATTTTAGTAAACAGACTCCAATCCATTCTGTGCAATAAGTATGGATATTTGTGTCCAGACAGTGAGTTCCAGGACATCAGAATCAGAAACAGATTTATTGGCAGGTATAGTTCACACAATATGAGGAATTTGTTCTGGTGGGTTGGTGCAACAATAAATATACAGTGAGGTACAAAGTACAACACAAAAATATAAAAATAGCTAAAAAAAAAATAAAAGTAACTGAAAATAAAAAATAAGTGTAATAGTGCAAACCACACAACTCAGCCTGCCTCGTGGACAGACTGTATGTCTTGTCCAGTGAGGAAGCAGGACCTGTCTCAGGCCCCAAACGTCATGTCTGTACAACAGGCAAGTGTCAAATTAATCTGCGGCTTAAAATAACTAACGAGCAGTGTAATGGAATCAGCTTTAATTCCACCTTGATCCCCAGTGATCAAAAGTCGTAATACTTCAAACATCACATTGCACCAACATGAAGCCATAGTGTCCCACAGCTTAGACTGTCCTCAAGGCACAGTTAGATTTTCACTGAATGACCGTGGAAACATCAAAAAATCAGAGTTAACTTGGGTTGAATGCGTTAGGAGATGTTAGCTGATCACAATTCCTGATGATGTTCCAGGAGATCATGTGACAAATCTCAGTATTCATGTTTTACAAACAGAAAAAATATATAGTCCAAGCATCTTTCTTTACAGTTTTAGGCCCTGTACACAACATCACACACCTGAAGGAGTTTTCAGTTGTTTTGGCTGAAACACCTCTTCTCAGGCCTGAATGGACATGCACACACTTAGGTTGCTTGATTTATATCTCAACTCTCCTTGCTGCACCTGTTATGACAGGCCAACTTGCCTTTTTACCACATTGCTTAGTAATACCTGCTGCTCACCCGATCATCCACCCCACTACTTCCCTTCCCATTACTAAAGCCCATTAGGACTGCCTGAGAACAGCAGCAACAAGCCTCATATCCGGGCTGACGAATATCTCCGCCTTCCAGCGAAGAGAACACTTCCTATACACTGAAACTTATTTTTAATTCTTGCAGAAGTTTCCCTGCCTTTCCTCTCACTATTTGAGTCCCATCAGTTCAGTACGTACAGATGCCACAACCAGAAAGGCAAGGAACAGCAGAAGACTTCAAACCTGCCTACAACTCATCCCTCCCATCTTGCTCACTCTCAGCGCCCTCAGGTGGAGGTCCGCCTGCACTGCCGTAAAGCTTGCTGATGATGGGTTGGACCACCTCCTCCAGCTCCTTCTTCTTGGCCTGGAACTCTTCCAGGTCAGCATCTTGGTGCGACTCCATCCACTCGATCTTCTCCTCCACTGCCTTCTCAACGGCCTCCTTATCGTCATCTGACAGTTTGCCACCAAGCTTCTCCTTGTCGCCGATCTGGTTCTTCAGAGAGTAGGCGTAGCTCTCCAACTCGTTGCGGGCATCGATCCTCTCCTTCAGCTTCTTGTCTTCATCAGCAAAGCGCTCAGCGTCATTCACCATGCGCTCGATATCCTCGGGTGTTAGGCGGTTCTGGTCATTGGTGATCGTGATTTTGTTCTTGTTGCCGGTGCCCTTGTCCTCAGCAGTGACACGCAGAATACTGTTGACATCAATCTCAAAGGTGACTTCAATCTGTGGTACACCACGAGGGGCAGGGGGGATGCCAGTCAGGTCGAAGGTGCCCAGAAGGTGGTTGTCTTTCGTCAAAGGACGCTCACCTACAGAGAGTCAATAATTAGGCTTGTAAAACATTTTGTATCGCTCTGTATAGAAACAGGGAAAACACAAATATTAAAATCCTGTTTGGAAAGTTCACACCATCTCTTACCTTCATAGACCTTAATGGTGACAGTAGGCTGGTTATCAGAAGCTGTAGAAAAGATCTGGGACTTCTTGGTGGGCACCACAGTGTTCCTGGGGATCAGTTTGGTCATCACTCCTCCAACGGTCTCAATACCAAGAGTCAGGGGGCACACATCCAGAAGAACCACATCACCTGCAAGAGTAAAAAGACATTAAGAAAACAAGATCAAGTTTGTTAGCTACATCTATTATAATAAATAATCTATGGAGGGTGATGACTTACCAGTATCCTCCTCTCCAGAGAGCACTCCAGCCTGCACAGCAGCTCCATAAGCCACAGCCTCATCAGGGTTGATGCCTCTGGAGGGCTCCTTGCCATTGAAGAACTCCTTCACCAGCTGCTGGATTTTGGGGATACGGGTGGAGCCTCCAACCAGGACAATCTCATCAATGTCAGACTTTTTCATGTCAGCGTCTTCCAGCACTTTCTGCACAGGCTTCATGGTGGAACGGAAAAGGTCCTAGATGAGATGGTTTTGTTTTGTTTTTTTTTAAAAAAAAGGTTAATAGGTTGTCAAACATGAAATCAGATAAAGTTGTCATTGTGCAGTATTTTAACATAGCTGAACTGATAACATACCATGTTCAGCTCTTCAAACTTGGCACGGGTCAGGGTCTCAGAGAAGTCTTCTCCCTCAAAGAAGGACTCGATCTCAATACGGGCCTGGTGCTGGGCAGACAGTGCCCTCTTTGCCTTCTCAACCTCACGACGCAGCTTCTGCACAGCACGGTTGTCTTTGCGCACATCTTTGCCAGTCTTCTTCTTGTACAGCTTGATGAAGTGCTCCATGACACGCTGGTCAAAGTCCTCACCTCCCAGATGAGTGTCACCGTTGGTGGCCATCACTTCAAACACACCATAGTCAATGGCCAGAAGGGAGACGTCAAAGGTGCCACCACCCAGATCGAACACTAGAACTTTCTTCTCGTGACCCCTCTTGTCCAGGCCATAAGCAATGGCAGCAGCAGTTCTAAAGGATAAAATTAACAGGATGTGTCATCACAGAGGAAGGGAGGAAAATGTTTTACAATTTCAAATCATAAATTTTTGATGTGTCCATTTTTTGTTGGACACTTACGGCTCATTGATGATTCTCATAACATTCAGACCAGCGATGGTTCCAGCATCCTTGGTGGCCTGGCGCTGGGCATCATTGAAGTAGGCAGGGACAGTGACCACAGCATGTGTGACCTAGGAAAAAGAAAAAACTAAATTTAATTCTCTGCTATTTTTTTTTTTTAGGACTGGTACATTTCTGATGTACATTCTTAGACACTGTTTGTACCTTCTTGCCCAGGTAAGCCTCAGCAGTCTCCTTCATCTTGGTCAGCACCATGGCAGAGATCTCCTCGGGAGCAAATGTCTTCATCTGGCCGCCACCGATGTCAACCTGGATATGGGGCTTGCTCTTCTTCTCAGTGACCTTGAGAAGAAAGTGGATTAATATTAATACACCAAGTGTTTTACTCAAACATTATCCAAATATCCTACAATCATAACGAACACTTAAAACCTCTAAGAGTAGAAGCTCACCTTGAAGGGCAGGTACTTGATGTCCTGCTGCACAGAGGAGTCGCCCCAAGTGCGACCAATCAGTCTTTTGGCATCAAAGACCGTGTTCTCAGGGTTAGAGGTCAGCTGATTCTTGGCAGCATCACCAATCAGACGCTCACCCTCACTGGTGAAGGCCACAAATGAGGGGGTGATGCGGTTACCCTGGTCATTGGCGATGATCTCCACACGGCCATTCTTGAACACTCCAACGCTGCAGGAAAACATTTCAGAATGCTTAAAGTACAGCCTTATTTTCAGTAGCATTTAACTTAAAAGTGGCATCATTGCACTGTCTTCTAAAACAATCAAGTCTGAAGTCATATTAATTCTTACCAGGAATAGGTGGTTCCTAAGTCGATTCCAATCACAGTCCCCACATTCTCCTCCTCATCGGCAAAACAAGCAAACACGGTGCCGACCACCAGCAGAACAACCCACAACAGCTTCATCTTTGCTTCTTTGTATTTGAATCTATGAAAAAAATATCTGAGGAGAAGAAAAATCATGTAAACAAACACGGCCTTGCATTCATGACATGGGCTCATGCCCCAAATTCATGCAGCTAGCAGCTAATGGGAATGCTCAATGTTATGTATGGAGCTCAGAGTTTGAATTAACTGTACAAGTGAAGTCTTTACCAATAAATTCTTGTAAGATTGTTCGATTTCATTATATTGAAAATAATACATTTTTTCTTTAGATTTTTTTTCATAAAAAAAACAAGTGATAATTTGTAAACAAACTGAAGCACTGAAAGGGTTAAAATTGTGAAAATAAATAAATATTTGGTAGTTATGATCAGGACTGATATTGCTCAAAAATCTGACTCAGAGAGAGTTTTAGATGCAGATTTTGTCTAGTACCGAGTGTGAGTTTTACTAAAAATCTGACAATGCTTAAAAACAAATGCATCAGAATTAATGTTACTAATTGTTGACATATCCCAAACTGTGACAGAAAAAAGAATCCACATAGCTCTTATATTTTTTGATTTAAAAAAATAATAATAATTGTACAATGTAAATGACATATAAAGGTTTAAAATAATGAATATTGGTAGTTTTGATGAGGACTAATATATAAGTTAGTTTAAAAAGATTCACTCAGTGATAATAGACAATAATATTGATATATAATAATTTCATGGCAACGTTTTTGACTCATATGTTTTTGTTTTTAAGGACCTCTGAGTAACTTGTTGAAATTGACACCTCAGGGCTAAATCACACTTGATTTAAAAGGCTACAATAACGTTTTCCTTCGGGTAGCTCCAACGTCAACCTTTATTACAGTAAACTGTCAAAACACTTTTTAGCCTTGTAGAAAACACTAAATATTAAGATACTGCATTATCATAACCACATCAAAGTTTACACTTACCTCAATGGAAGTGCTGTCAGTGAATCAACTTGAAAACGCCTCTCGCAGCAAGTCTTGTCTCTTCTTTGTACTGGGATGAACTCTTGTCTCCATGAAATGATGTTGAACGAACTGCGCTCTTTTTATTCATAAGCAGTCTCGAGTCCCGTCGGACAAGCCTGTGATTGGCTGAGCGGCTGCTCGCTGGATCGCGCTGATTGGCTCGATCTGCCATGCTGGCCGCCGCTTATTTGCAGCGAAGTCACAACAAATGCCGACGCGCGAACACCGCTGATGCAACAACAACAACAACACGCCAATCCAATGCCCGCGGATGTATACAGTTTTACATTTCACATATTTTAAAGTTTGCATTTATGTTTATGATGTGACTCCATGAATTGGATTGACGCTCGTTAGTTGTTGTTTGAAGGGGCGCGACTGTGTGGACACGTGCTGGTATCATACATAGGAAATGACCATAACGTGACAGAAGGTTACATCAGATAAAGTGGATTGTCTGGGTGTTTCATCAGAATGCCCACACCTTTACTACAGAGTCCAGCATTGAAATATAGCTGGTAAATAAGTTGATGATTAAACTTTAACATGAGCCCACATTGTACTTCAGACTAAATCCCTGACGCAGTACATTCAACTTTAATTTGCACTGCTACAGTTCTATCTTGTCGGATTCTAAATCTTTTTCGTAGTTTCTGTGTCCTGTCAGCTCAATCTAAGTTATGTGTGGTTTGTGATATAGAAATTGCTGCTGCTCCACTGCAATTTCCATTATGGCTCAATAAAGAACTAGCACTAGATCTATCTATCTATCTATCTATCTATCTATCTATCTATCTATCTATCTATCTATCTATCTATCTATCTATCTATCTATCTAATGTGCAAACTTAAGCCTGTCAAAGTTTGACTAAGTGTAATGTGTCACTTGTGTTTGGCTTAATTATAATTTTCACTGATTTTATGACAGGAAAGACATAAAATATCATCAAAACTATATCTTTTGTTTGTGTTTACTAGAAGTAGAACAAGTCCAGTCTCTAAAGAAATGACACAACAGATTTTGCCTTATTTGACTTTTTCCGAGGGACTAAGCTGAAGTGATCTCCAAAGTAACAGCTTTAACACAGAGAACCACAGCTTAGTCAAAAATCTATGAAAATGTACTTTCAGTGAGCCCTTCATTTGGTACGACTAAAACGATCAATCTGTTGACTGCAAGAAAAAATATAGAAAATCACCAAAGATTTCTTCTGAGGAATGATGCACTGCTTTATCTGCTTTAATGTTAAGTGATCTTGCTTTTCATGGAGAATTCTTTCTTATAGACCGCTGGTGTATTGATACCTCACTGCTTGCTGACCTTTTGTGAGTATTGTTCTATTTTCTTTCGATTCAACAAAAACTTTTGATGATAAAGGAAAAACAATCAAACTCAACTCAACTCAACTCAACTGGGCTGAACTGAACTGAACTGAACTGAACTGAACTGGGCTGAACTGAAAAAGCTGACTGTCTTAAGAATTGATCCAGCCCGGGTTGAGCAGTGCATCAAAGGAGATCTAGAAATCCTGGCTGAATTCTGCCTTTTCTTCAGAAACATGTCCTCTTCTCCATTTGAACTTTTGTCACGAGCTCTTGACTTAAACATCAAAGAGTGGAACATCACCATGAACTCTAGGAGGAGCTATGCTGCTGGCTAAATTATGGAGGAAGTGAAACATCAGATGCAGGAATAGCAAATTCCCAGAGGGACCAAACCTTAGGTTGATTGATCATAAACAGCTGCCTCTTTTACAATTTCTTACAAACCAATTTTAACTAAAGTTTATTCTTGACTTTTAAATCCTTGCCTTGTCTTTGTTGTAACTTTGTAAATTTCTGTCTCATGGTTGGCATAGAAGTCCATCCATCCATCATCTATACACCTCTTAATCCTCACTAGGGTCGTGGGGGGGCTGGAGTCTATCCTAGCTGACTTAAGGTGAAGGCAGGAGACACCCTGGACAGGTCACCAGTCTATCACAGGGCTACACTTATAGACAGATAACCAAGCACACTAAATTCTGGCATTAAAGTGTTTTCATTGTTTACTTTTCAACACAAAACTTCACTGGTTCTCTGACAGAATACAACTCTTTGTAGCAACTATTATCTGTGGTTTTGTGGTGTTAAATTATCAAAAATAAATCTTCATTTCCTCCTATTTTAATACCCAAGATTATACTTGTAGTCTGTTGAATAATACTTTTCTTTTTTTTCTCTATAAGCACTAAATGTTATTGTATTGTTATATACTATCACTGTCAGTGTCATGTCACAAGACCAAATTTGAATCACAAAGACCATAAAGTAACATGTGATATTCTAAATAATTATTATAGCCTAATAAAAAGGACAATTTAATAGCAATGGGAATAATACATTTTGTTAGTCTTTATTTTTTTTAAGTCCTATGGAGAACACATTTTGTTCTAATGTAGTTAAAGTTGCTACAAAAGCAGAATTTTTACCAAAAACATACAATGGCACAGCCTACTGGGCATACTATGAAATGCAGTCTTGTGACAGGACTGTCAGCTAAATGCCCTGCAAATCATCCCACTGTACCTACCTGAAGAAACAACTCACGGAAAGACAAGAAAAACCAATGGCATTACTTTAACATGCATCTATTGCCTGCATTTGAAATATTGGCTAATTGAAGATGTGGCAACATGCATGCAGGTTTGCTTTGCAAGTTTCAATGTATTTTCCATTTAAAGTGTACAAGCAATAGTAGGTTTCCTTGCAATACTATTGAAGTTGTGTCAGTTTAGGTATGCTTTTCTGGGAAAATGTGTGCAGTTTCTGCAACATCTACACAACCACAAGATGTCTCATCTCCCCTTGCTACTCTATTCTCCATTTCTGCTGTTGGTATATTTGCCTGTTTGTTGATCTATTGTGTATTTGGCGGTTTGTAAGTATACTCAACAGCTGATGTGGGCTCACGACCTTCAGTCTGAAAACTGTTTCACTGTCATACCATTCTCTGCATTAGCACTAAATCCAGATTCATGCAGTATTGTATCTTAAGGACAGATGCTTACACATTTTACAGGAAATGTGGAGGACTGATGATCTCATGAAGCAGAAACACAGGCAGGTGAGTTTTACTCTCGACTACTCTATGAGGGATAGAGCGGTCTGTCCTTCATAGAGTAGATTCTGGCTTACTTAAACCAATAAAATGAAAATATAACATGTAGTTTGTAATAATCTGACCATTTGGGGGCTGCAGTGCATGATTGTGTCACATTTTGCTCCTGTGAGTGGATAAGAAGTGAAAATGATGGCTGTCTGGCCAACAGTTTAGAAGACTTTTACAAAACTGACCAAGATACAACTTCTGAGTGCTTTTTTTTTTTTTTTTTTTAACTCACAAGAGGTCTGAACAATATTACCTAACTTTCAATGGCATTCCTCCTCTACAGATGCTAAGAGGACTCTTCTATTCAGCCCAAATTAAATTTTTAAAAAAATCCCTTTTTCCATTGGGGCTATTTCATGACATATTTGTTTGGCTAACCAAAGATAAGTCAATTTATGTTTGATTTTTTTTTTTACTATGCAGCCAGTGTGAAGGGCATTTTTGTCCCAGCTAACTAAGACGTACTTGCCCATAAATGCTTGTCAAGTATCTTGAAGGATGTTGTACTTTGGTGGGGGTAACTTAGCACAACTAGCTAGCTTCGACTTGCAATTAAATGTGGTGTACATGTCACCCATAGCCTACCTTTTCACTTGAAGTTGGAGATAGTACTTTAAAAGTTAGACGGAAACTTAAGACATACTTTTGCGTGACTTAACCTAAACAGGCTTCTCTGTGAGCAATACGAGGAACTCACGTTGATATTTTATTTTTGATAAAATAGCAACTTCAGGCCAGTTGCTACGCCCGGTGGTTATATGGTAGGAAAAGGTCGACTGTGTGTGAGCATGCGCGCTGGGAAGCACCGTAACTACGGCAACTACGTTTGGAACCGTACAACGTAACGAACGTAACACTTTACGTACTGTTTTCAACGTAGAGCTCCACTCGTGCTAGCAGACGAGTGTTTATGCTAGCGAGTTCATTGTACATTTTCGTGTCGCTCGAATTACCGTTGTACTTTTGTTAAAGAAAAAAAAAACAACCTGTTGTCGTGTTTAAACGTTAGAAAATGGGGCGAAAGAACTACAGATAAATGACAGGATACGTAGCAGAGACCCGGAAGAGCAGGTCAGTGTAGACGAAGCATATCCCAAATGAGGACTGATGGCTCTCGATGTGTTCACAACTCAGTGGCACTGTTGCTAATTCAAGCTACGTTTCACCATGTCTTTCAAACCATAATTAACTAGAAGTAGCATTATAGACATACCTTAATAAATATTTGTGTTGCTTCGTTTGTGGCTACATTGCGCGCAAGACTTTCTGTGCATATCGTTAGCTACTTCAGAGCCGTAGTGAGATCATAGTAAAATCATATCAGAAGTTAAGATCATAGTCAAATTGTGACCCTGGCTGCTAGTGTATTACCTCTTTATCTCCCATCTGATCACCACCCAAAGTGTAAAATAATCAGCGACAAGGCAAACACGAGGACACAATAAACACCAGGTTGCTTTATTCTGATTTCTCAGACAGCCATGGAGTTTCTCCCTGTACTTGACCCTCTAGACAAACCCAAAGAAGGATTATGGTAAGTAAATAAAAATAAGATCATTGGACTTGTGGTGTTTAAAATAAAAGCTTGCATCTTCTGAAACTGTTTTTGCTGTCAACAGGTATTCTTTAATACCCAGGGGAGATGCTCCAGGTGTGAGTGTGGGTCACACCTGCACATATGTTCCACCTGGAGAAGGAGGAAAAGGAAGAATCCTCATTGTCGGGGGAGCCAACCCCAGCGGCAGTTTCTCACATTCACATATTATAAATCTAGGTAAAAAAATAGATATATGGAGAGGCTTTTATAGTTCATATAGTGTCTACATACCACAGTGCTCTATAAACTACTTTTCATTAAGGTTTACAAGAAAAGATATCAAACAGATTTTTTGATTGCTTTGACATTAGGTAAATTGCATCTTAATTGGGATTATTTTTGTAGAAACCATCAGACTTTTGGACATAAGAAGTCACACTAACAATAAATTTGACCTAACCCAGGCCTGTGTAATATTTGCTCTTCATGAAATCACAATCAAAGTTAGAGAATGTGTATTTTACAGAAATTGTTGGAAATAAGGCTGCGAAAATGTTGAATGTTTTGGTGCCAAGTTTCATAATTGTAATCAAATCAAGTTTATTGTCATTTTGCTGTACATACACAGTAGTACAGGCAAGATAAGAGAGCATATCATCAGGATCCAATAACGTAAAGCAATTTAAATAAAGAAGTGTTTGCATATCTGGATCAGCAGTTCAGCATTCTGACAGCTTGTGGAATGAAGCTGTTGATCATTCTGGAGGTTCTTCCTTTAATGCTCCAGAAACGTTTGCCTGATGGTTCAAACAGTTTATGGAGAGGGTGTGAGGAGTCCCTGACAATGTTCAGTGCCCTGCTCCTGCAGCAGCTCTGGAATAATATATTTTATTATAAATATAGTCCACCTGCTTTAATTAGGAGGCTGCAAAGGGCTAACGTTGATATTGGGATAAAGCATTGTTTATTCAACATTCGTTATTTGCTTGGTTCGTTATTTGCTTGGCAGTGTGTGACCTTCAAACTGATCGCGTAGGACTTTATTTGCATGCTTTTTTTTCTTTCCCTTTTTGCCAGATAATCATGAATGGGACATTGCAGAATGGGATGGTTTGGAGGCGCGGTATGAACACTGCAGCTTTGTACCAGAGAGCCACCCACAGAGTCTGTGGGTGTTTGGCGGGGCACAGCAGACTGGCAATCGCAGCTGCATCCAGAATGTACAACTAACAGGTAAACTCCAGTTAAACTCAACTTGCCGTCTGTCGTCATCTCTAATACTCACAAAGAGGTCATGTTAATCTTTGAAATCAAATGTTGTAGTTTTTGGTGACAGTGTAAACTTGGGTCGTCGTGTCATCACGTAACCATAAAGACTGAGTGAACGATTTGTTACCTTCTGTGTGTGTCCAGACGGTGAGCCTCGCTGGAAAAATGTAGTGGCGAATGGGAAACTCCCCAGTCCCAGGACCTACCACACCAGCTCAGCCTGCCTAGAGGACAAACTGTATGTCTTCTCTGGTGGGGAAGCAGGAGCTGCACCTGTCTCAGACCCCAAACTTCATGTCTTCGATACAGGTTTGTGTCAAAATAACCTGCTGCTTTTCAATGTAATTTGCCTTGACTCCATCTTAACTCCCAATGATCAAAGGTCAAAATTTTTCAAACATCACATTGCACCAAAGTGAAGACATTTAGTCCCACAGCTTAGATTTTCCTCAAGGCAAAGTTACATTTTGACTGAAATACAAGGAAGCCAGAATTAAGTTGTGTTGAATGTGTTAATAGGTTCAAGCTGATCACCGTTTCAGATGTTTCAGGAGATCATGCAACAAATCTCAATATGAATTTATTACGTATAAAAAGCCACATGTTAAATAAAACAAGTGCAGACATGTTTCATTAAAGTAGTTGGCCCTGTAAAAACCTGCGACGCCTGCAGGCATTTTCAGTTCTTTTTGGCTTACCTGACCTCCTCTTAGTACTGAGTGTGCAGAGATCTAATCTGAAACAATGACTGAAAACAAAACAAAAAAAATGTAGTTCATGTAAGCTTTACTGTCTGATGCAACCTGATTCCATATTATTTCCGGAAATGTATTACCTCGTAACAGATCGGTTCTGGATTGTTGGTGGCGTTTCACAATGTCAGATCTATTTGGTCGTAGTTGACACACTTAATAGTTGCCCTAAAATAAAGCATATTCAATTGAAGGTGTCAGTTATTGGGATGTAGTTATTGTTCATATTATTAAGTGTTGACAAATGCCCCAAAAATGTGTTTTTTTTAAATGACAACAATAATCAACTCTGCATATTAAAACTTTTTTATGGAAATGTGTTCCAGTATCTTCCACTTGGTCCCAACCAGAAACACAAGGCAGGCAACCTCCAGCCAGACACGGCCACATTATCACAGCAGTGGGTTTAAAGATCTACATTCATGGAGGCATGGCTGGAGAGAAATTCCACAATGACATGTACTCTCTTGACTCAAGTAAGTCTATGTGAATCTCTTGAATTGTCAGAGAAAACACACTGTGCACCAGCAGCTTCCTGACAGGATAAACATTTAGAGCATCGTGGTACTGGAATGCTTTAAGATTTGTAGTTGAACATAATTGAACTGTTTTCTGTTTTAAGGGAGCATGAAGTGGGAGAAAGTGCAGGCCAAAGGAGATATCCCACCTGGAGTAGCAGCCCACTCAGCTGTGGCGCTGGGCAAAAACATCTACATATTTGGAGGGATGACTGCAGATGGAGCCACCAACTCCATGTACAGATTCAACACTGGTACACTGCCTTTAAATATCAGACTGAATAATAGTTTACTTTAAATCAATATGTCTTATACAACTGTTCATTTAATTACAGTGGGTAGAAACAAAACATTTTGTTCTTAAATATCCTGTATGAATTTCAGTGTATTGTCATATTCTTTGCTTACAGACAAAAGTAGATGGATCCTAATGAAATTTGAAGGAGACGTGCCACCTAATCGCCTTGACCACTCCATGTGTCTGTTGCCATGGAAGATGTGCACTGAGGGGAATGGGGATGAGGAGCAGGCCAACAGCTCAGCAGCCTCTGAGACAATCAATCTGGCTTTTGTATTTGGAGGGATGGACACTCAGGGTGTCATATTTAATGACTGTATTGTGACTGTTGTGACATGAAGAGCTTTGATGTAATAAAACAGTATTAAGTACTACAGAGTGACTGATTTTTAGAGCTTGTGCTACACATACTGACAGAAAAGGTTAAATTACTCTCATTTGAGCCAGGAGTGAATATGTGTTGAACACGATAATTGGATAGAAACACATTTGGCAGTATATACCAAAATTTGAAACCTAAATTTGAAAGTTAATTCAACAGGAGTCAGCCAAGTAACAGTTTGTATCAAACATTTATTTCAATGTCTTTCCAGAAGTACAATGACCAGATTCAATAAATAACTTTTAGCATTGTCTGTGAACATAAAGAGCCCTTGATCCCACAGACACTCTACTCAATGTACCCACAAATACCTGCCCACCCAATAATCCACCCCACTAAGTCCCTCCCCATTACAGAATCCTATCAGGACTGCCTGAGAACAGCAGCAACAAGCCTCATATCCGGGCTGACGAATATCTCCGCCTTCCAGCGAAGAGAACACCTCTTACACACTGAAACTTTTTTTTTTTGTTGAAGTCTTTCAGTATGGTTGCTTGTTATCATTGTCACCCCTTCCCTGCCTTTCCTCTCACTATTTGAGTCCCATCAGTTCAATATGTACAGATGCCACAACCAGAGAGGCAAGGGGCGACAGAAGACTTCAAACCTGCCTACAACTCATCCTTCTCGTCTTGCTCACTCTCAGCGCCCTCAGGTGGAGGTCCGCCTGCACTGCCGTAAAGCTTGCTGATGATGGGTTGGACCACCTCCTCCAGCTCCTTCTTCTTGGCCTGGAACTCTTCCAGGTCAGCATCTTGGTGCGACTCCATCCACTCGATCTTCTCCTCCACTGCCTTCTCAATGGCCTCCTTATCGTCATCTGACAGTTTGCCACCAAGCTTCTCCTTGTCGCCGATCTGGTTCTTCAGAGAGTAGGCGTAGCTCTCCAACTCGTTGCGGGCATCGATCCTCTCCTTCAGCTTCTTGTCTTCATCAGCAAAGCGCTCAGCGTCGTTCACCATGCGCTCGATGTCCTCGGGTGTTAGGCGGTTCTGGTCATTGGTGATTGTGATTTTGTTCTTGTTGCCGGTGCCCTTGTCCTCAGCAGTGACACGCAGAATACCGTTGACATCAATCTCAAAGGTGACTTCAATCTGTGGTACACCACGAGGGGCAGGGGGGATGCCAGTCAGGTCGAAGGTGCCCAGAAGGTGGTTGTCTTTCGTCAGAGGACGCTCACCTAAAGAGAGTCAATAATTAGGCTTGTAAAACATTTTGTATCTCTCTGTATATAAACAGGTAAAACACAAATATTAAAATCCTGTTTGGAAAGTTCACACCATCTCTTACCTTCATAGACCTTAATGGTGACAGT